GCTTCTATGCCGTACATGAGAGAATAAGACGTAGCTTAGGTAGAAGTCCTATATGTCGTCCTATATGCCCAAAGTGCTTCGCTTATTCTTTCATGCCAGTCTCTCTCTGTTTGACCGATCACTTTTTTCAAGAAGTTGCACAATGTTTTGTTGAATGCTTCTGCAAGACCGTTGGCCGGAGTATAATACATGGAAGACTTGTGCTGTTTAAACTTGTATTTCTCGCAAAGCCCGTCCACGAGTCGGTTGGAGAACTGTTTTCCATTGTCAGTGACGATGTAGCAAGGCACACCATATCGGTGGATGATATGTTCCTTGATGAAACGAACGACAATTTCCTTCTTGACTTCCCTTAGGGGTATGGCTTCAGCCTACTTGGAGAAGTAATATGTTGCAGCTAGGATGTCAGCTTCTCCTGCAGATGACTTTGGTTCAATCGGCCCTACGACGTCCAATCCCTATGCATTGAACGACCATGAAGCAACTGTATGGTGTAATGGTTCAAGTGGTTGATGTATGAAGTTGGCGTAGAATTGGCAGGCTTGACACCTTTTGGTGTGTTCCAGACAATCTTTCACTATGTTTGGCCAGTAGTAACCCATTATTTTAAGCTGAAAATGTAGCTTTGGTCCAAACTGATGCGCCCCGCATACGCCTGAGTGTGTTTCTTCTATGGCTTCATTGACTTCTTCCTCACCTAGGCATCTCAGCAGTATTCCTTCAAAAGAGCATCGGTAAAGTGTTCCTTTGTAGTAGAGAAAGTGAGGTGCTCGTCGACGTATTTCGGAGCGATGTCTAGGATCATTTGGAAGCTTTCCATGCTCCAGGTAGTCGATTAGCGAGTGTCTCCACTCTTCGGCATCGACTGGAAGTATTGAGATGACATTTGTATCATCCAGTAGCATTTCAGTGATGAGCAAGATCACCCATCTTTGGCAAACTGGCACGTCTACTGCTTACTTTTCTCCTAGTGTCATACTTGAGGCTAGGTTGGCAAGAGCGTCTGCCATTTGATTTTCTTTTCTTGGCACATGTTCCAGTGTCATAATCTTGAACTTTTGTAACAGTTGAGTTGCTAGCCAGAAGTATAGGACGAGATCATATTTTCTCACCTCATATTCAGTTAAGAGTTGATTGATTATGAGCTTGGAGTCACCAAATACCTCAAGGGCTATGATTCCCATGTTGATCACCATTTAGAGCCCAATGATCAATGCTTGGTACTCAGCGACGTTGTTGGAGCATAGTTCGCTTAGTTAGAAGGAATAAGGTAGTATTTGCCTTTGTGGCGACATGAATACTACTCCTACCCCCGCTTCGTCTGCTCGTTCAAATCCGTCGAAGAACATCATTCATGTCGGGTAGATGTCGATGTTGAACACATCCTCGTCAAGCAAGTTATCTGAGATTTTCCAATCGGCTGGGATTTGATGATCGGCAAGGAAGTCTGCTAGTGCTTGTCCCTTGACGGCTTTAGCTAAGACGTATATGATCTTATATTGATTAAGAAGCAACACCCATTTAGCCACTCGCCCTGTCAAGACTGGTTTGGACATGACGTATTTGACCGGGTCAGCTTTAGCAACTAGATGGTTGGTGTAAGCATGCATGTAATGCCTGAGCTTCTGGATGGCGAACATTAAGGCGAGGCACATCTTTTCTATTAGGGAGCAATTTAACTCGGCATCGATAAAAGTTCGACTGAGGTAGTAGAGTGCTCCATCTTTCTGGGATTCATTCTTTTGTGCCAAGAGTGTTCCAATTGAACTTTCCTGAGCGGCGATGTAATATAAGCTGTTTCCCAGACACAGGCGCCCCCAAGACATGTGGACATGATAAATACTTTTTTATGCTTTCAAAATCATTGTGGCATGCTTCGTCCCATACAAACGGAACATCCTTCTTCATGAGTCGACTGAACGGTTGACAACGCCCTGCAAGGTTGGAGATGAAACATCTAATGAAGGCTAGTTATCCTTGTAGACTTTTCAGCTCGTGCAGGTTTCTTGGTTCAGGCATGCTTTGAATGGTATTGATCTTTGATTGGTCTACTTCAATGCCATGATGCTTGACAATGAAGCCGAGGAACTTTCCAGAGGTGACGCCAAATGCACATTTTAACGGGTTCATCTTAAGGTTGTATTTTCGTAACCTTTCGAACACTATTCGCAAATCCTTAAAGTGATATGAACTTTTCTTTGTCTTGACCACCACATCGTCTACGTAACATTCTACGTTTTGTGTAGCATGTCATTGAAGATTTTCTGCATTGCGCGTTGATATACGGCTCTAGCGTTTTTCAAACCAAAGGGCATCACCTTGTAACAGTAGATACCTTTTGGAGTGCGGAAGGCTGTTAGTTCTTGGTCTTCGAGAGCCATGCGAATTTGATTGTATCCAAAAGAGCCATCCATGAATGACAGTGCTTCATGGCCAATGGTTGCGTCCACCATGATTTCGATGATTGGCAAGGGGAAGTCGTCATTCGGACAAGCATCGTTGAGGTCCTGGAAGTTTACGCAAACATGTATTTGTCCAGATTTCTTAAGGACTTGCAAATCTTTTTCTTCCACAGTCCATGTTAGCCTTGTGATCGCTTCATTCATTTAAGCCAGCTGCTCATCGATTGAAGTCACTCTGGTGGTCATAACTTGCATGGCTGAGTTGTTGCTTGAGTCGGCATCGGAAAACATGGAATCAGAGTACTTCTTCGAACTTTCCTCCCTTGGTGCTCTTAGCGAGGCCAGGGTGATCGTGATGTTCTGGAATCGTATCTTGGTTTGGATTCCGTTAAGTGGTCCAGAATCCCTTTGATGTCTTGTTTCCTTGGATTTAATTTCAGCTTCAGAGATGTAGGCTTCGGCCGAACTGTGTCGCTTTAGCTATGCATTTCAATGTATTGTATGTGTTATTGTTTGGTGTGATCATTAGATGTTGTTGGACATGGTTGTGATTGTTGGTGTTATAATTAGACTTGGTGATCAATATGGCTAGAGATTATTATTGTGTTTCGTCGTTGTTCTTTGAAAAAGATTTATGTTACGATTCGGCGAATATTCCTCGTGATGTGATACCTATAGTGTGGTATTATGTTGAGGCATGATGATTTATGTGATGAATGTTCAAGTGTGGTGAAATGATGAACTACGAATGGATTGATCCCTGTTTAGGGTACGTTGGCAATTTAACGAGGAAGTTCGATGCAGCCATAAAGCATACGAAAAATTATTACGCAGTTAGATCTTGAGTTATGCCTTGTACATATCCCGGAAGCGGGATCTGTTAGATATACAGATGCTAGGTGACGTCACGCGTTGATCCTGAACGTATGTCGGGTTCGGTGCGTGACACTTTTACATGCCCTTTTTATTCTAGGCGAATTACCTAATTCTGATTACCTATTTTTCCTCTCTTTTCATTCACTCTAAAGAAAACCCTAGTCATGCCCTTTATATATAGAGTTTAGGAACATGAAAAAAAAGGGTGCCACGCCTACCATTCATCCATTGAAGTTGTTGGAATTTTTAAGTTTTTTCTCTCTTTGTTTTAAGTTTCAATGTTTATTTTAGATTGTTTTTCAGTTATGATGAACATGTGTAACTATGTTTCTTTTTAGCTAGAGGTGAATTCAAAGCCATGGTCATATGTTTTATATAAATTGATTACATCCAGTTATTGTTTCATAAAACATGAATGCAATTTACTTATCTGCTTTATAGAAAACTTATTCTTGTATGTTTATTAAGGATGCATACTTAGTTTGCATGCAGGAATTTGATGCTAGAATATAAGAGAATTTCACCTAATCGTTATGAACTTATATTTGCAAGTAGTAAAAGTCACTCGTCATGATTGAGTTAAGTAAATTTTTGGCATGAGCATCATGCTTTTCATAGTTACGAATGTTTTGTCAATGCTTATGATTTTCACAGTGTTAGGTTTTGAACTTGCACATATCATGATAAGGATACCTAAACGTGGGTTTAAACCAATTAGGAGTCATGACCATGTCAATAACTGATCTCCTAGAATTAAGGGATTATGTGAACGTTATACATAATCTGATTTGAACGTGCAAGTTAATGGATATTAACTGATCCCATGATAGCTGGGATCACGTTAGAAATATATCCTATAAATACGAACGTCCCTGCTCACCAGAAAGACGTTCACTCGATCACTAGACTATCACTAGTATTGGACATAAGGGCTGTGTGAGTAGAAGACTTTCTGTTGGTATTCTTCCCAGTGCATTCATACTATTCTTCATGACTTCTTCAGGTATGTTTATATATATATATATATATATATACTGATCCAATCACTTTGAACTAACATGTATTGTATATCGTAATCTTAGTTTGAGATTCAAGCTTTTAATCTAACACACAGAACTTAATGATCTTCGAGATGTATCTCTATCATTCGTTTCATAATTAGGGAACTTGAGAAGAATAATTTGGTTGCGTCGCTGAGTCCAATTCAATAAACTTAGGAAAATCTGAAAGTTAATTAGTGTTGTACACAGTTAATTTGGGGCATTGTCATTCATGATTTATAGGAATAAATGAAAATCGATTTGTATGCATATGATTCATATGTGGAGAAGAATCCTTTCGCTATCTTTTCATCCATATTTCATTCACAACATAATTTACTTGCTGCCATTTACTTTTGTTTTTATTAAATTCGTCCAAAATCTTCCCGGTCGTGTTTTATTGTTAGTTTAATTTAGTTTTCAGATTTATAAGTTTAATTTATGTTGATTAGCATCCCTTCTAATCTCTGGAGTAGAACGACCCCTACTTACTCGTACTATGATTGCATAATTTATAAGGTTTAATTTGTGTGTTGGTTTTTACCACATCATATACGAGGGCAATTTGACCATCTCAAAGTGTAGAAAAAAAATTATATTTTTGTTTGATTGTTGTTCATTGTATGTGCATGCCGCGTGCGTATTAAAAATATTCTATTTTTGTTTCTAGATTAAGAAAGTGTAATAGTATTTCCCAAAAAATTTGCTGTGCGCTCGCAAATCTTTCTCTCGACTTTTAAACTCTACTCACTGGTGGCGGCAGTGGCAGCGGCATCATCACCCAGCATGTGATGTGACGAATGATGATGAACAATGAGGAGAGGATTACAGCTCCAGTTTGATCGAGTTTCTTGGTTGCTGAGACAGTGCTCCACCCCCAAACACATCCAGCAAGCTCATGGATTTATGGTCCCCCGAAGCCTTGTTCACGAAAATTTTATCCTCGCCCGATTCATCGACACCTGCTCTTCTCTCGGCCTCTCAGATTACGCCTCTTCCGTCTTCGCCCACTGCCCAGCCACTCATCAGCCAACTATTTATCTCTACAACACCATGATCAAGGCTCACGCTCTCTCCCCCTCCCCCTCCCGCGCCGTCTCTCTTTTCAACTCCATTCAACTCGCCGCCTTGCGCCCTGACTCCTACTCCTTCTCCTTTGTGCTCAAGGCCGTTGTCCGCTTGCTCCAACTTCAACTGGGCGCTCAGATTCACTGCCACGCCATTGCCACTGGGTTCGCCGCCGATGCCAACGTCCTCACTGCCCTCGTTCATATGTATTCCTCCTGCGGATGCGTTTCCCACGCCCGCGCGCTGTTTGATGGAGCTTTCTTTGTCAGGGATGCCGCACTCTGGAACGCAATGATCGGGGGGTATGCCAAGCTCGGTGACCTCGACAGTGCCCGCCATGTGTTTGAACTTATGCCCCATAGCATTCGGAACGTGATTTCTTGGACTGCCCTGATTGCCGGATACGCCCAGACGAACCGCCCCCACGAGGCCATCACCGTCTTCCAGAGAATGCAGGTTGAGAATGTTGAGCCTGATGAGATAGCAGTGTTAGCCGCACTCTCTGCGTGTGCCCATTTAGGTGCCCTTCACTTGGGGGAGTGGATCCATAACTACATTGACAGGCATGGATTTCGTAAGCTGGTTTCTCTTAACAATGCACTTATCGACATGTATGCAAAGTCAGGCAACATCATGAAAGCCCTTCGGGTTTTTGAAAATACCAAGTGCAAAACTGTCGTAACTTGGACGACCATGATTGCTGGACTGGCTCTGCATGGTCTTGCAAGAGAAGCCCTTCAAATGTTTTCTCAAATGGAAAGGGCTCAAATCAAGCCTAACCATATCACTTTCATCGCCATCCTTTCTGCTTGTAGCCATGGTCGATTGGTTGAACTAGGCCATTGGTATTTTAACATCATGATCTCCAAGTATGGGATTGAACCCAAGATCGTTCACTATGGCTGCATGATCGATTTACTTGGGCGCGCCGGTTATCTTGAAGAGGCACATGAGCTGGTTAAGCAGATGCCTTTTGAAGCAAATCCAGCTATATGGGGTTCTCTTCTTGCGGCTTCTAATATACATGGGCATGCTGAGCTTGGGCAGCATGCTTTACAACATCTTATAATGCTCGAGCCCCATAACAGTGGAAACTATGCACTTTTGTCTAACATATATGGTGCTCTAGGTAGGTGGAATGATTCTGGGATGCTAAGAAAAATTATGAGGGACACAGGTGTGAAGAAGGCGCCGGGAGGGAGTTCAGTAGAAGTGAATAACAGAGTCCATGAATTCATGGCAGGAGACAAATCACATTCAGAGTGCACTAGGATATATGGAGTCCTGTTTAAGATTTTCAGGCAGTTGAAGCCGGCTGGACATCTACAAAATGATTGTGAGGAGCTGCTTGAATTTGATGAATAGCCATTAGCCAGGGTTTGATACTCCACTTCTTCCAACGTTAACCCAGAATTGAGATTGTGAACTTTCTTGTTGGATGTCAGAGGAGGTTTGCTACATCAGTGTATCTGGACCTGCGTTTTCATCAACAAATAGGTATTTTCTTTCCAAAGTATTGTCTTCTGTCTTTTTGAGCTGCCGATGGGTTTACACTAACATACATATTATTTCTCTTCACCCTCATGCTACCCTACTAATAGTTCTTCCAGGCATCACATACACGGTTTGGTGTTTCAAAGAAAAGAAAGAGATAAAAATGATGTACAATGGAGCATCAGGATTACAGGTTGCATCAGGCATTCAGGAGAGTCACAAATCAGATCTGCTTAGTTCAGTGGTCTTAATTTCTTGCCAAGTGACAATCAGGTTTGATCAGTGAACTTGAAACTGAAAGTGCTTCACAAAGATAATTTGAGTTATTTAATTTGTACACATTTGTGATATGAATTTTCAATGCACATTTTTACATGAATGGAATATCGCTTTATTTCATAGGATAATCATCAGAACTTGCATATGAAGACTTGAGTATATAGTCACCTACTGCAGCTGCTTCAAAGCATTAAGCCAAGGAAGAATTCCTGCTCTAGTCCCAAATTTCGTAATCCTAACCCTAGAAGAGTACTGATCCACAAAATTTGAATTTTCTGTTTAAGATGGTGGCATATTCCTGAAAAACAAATAGAGCAAGATAAACTTGTGAAACCATAGACCAGAACATGTTCAAAGAAAAAAGCTGCTGGATGAAAATATTGGTAAAAAAGATTGAATAAGATCAGCATGTTTGTATTTACATAAGTATCTTTCTTACCTGAGTTCATATCATCTTCTTGTGACTTTATGAGTTGTTGTGGCTTGGTTGGTTCCTTTGGAGTTGCATTTTCCATAAATAAAGCTCTTTGACATCTCATTTTTCCTAGGCCCGGTCTTATCCCTTCAGCAGACCTCTTAAATAGCGTGTCCGAGTCTTCTTTTCCACAATCTTCCTCACATATTGCGGTACACAATTGTTGACAGCATGACTTTAGTTCTATTCTCAAAACTGAGATACTAGACTCTTTTCTTGAGTCCAAAACGCTATAAGCTGAATTGGTGGTAGAAATTTGGCACCAATTACTATCACCTGACAAGGAACTGTCTGAGCATTCTGTTTCACCAAGTAGTGCCTGCGTTGTGGATGAAGCGTGGACCCCATTATCATCTTGATTCAAATGAGAACTGCTGCACCAAATATCAGATGGATATATAGTGTTGCATATGTGTTTCTCCATTGGCATGCCATCAAGTTTATCTTTTATATAGTTACATCTTGAGGAAATACTGTCATAATCCTTCAAATTTGTGGGAGTTTTATTAATAACCACTTCTTGCACGGACCTCTGAGATCCCTCCACACAAGCATGCTTCTCCAATTTGTTGTGGTTGATAATCTGTTTCGTTGCAAACTTGTAATTATGGACTTTCTTATCTTGCAAATTGTCTGTTTCTTTCTGTCCATTACATATATGTTTCTTCTCTGGGGTAGGAATGGCTGGAATCCATTTGTTCCTGTGAAAGTGACTCCTGGTAACATTTGCATTGTTATTTAAGAGTAACCACTTATCAACATAGGGTTTAGGTGATGCTTCCTGTCCTGGTAGCACAACCTCTTTAGTATCGGACTCTGATAGATCCTGACTGTATTCTGTTTCACAATCTGCACTACTTTTCACCTTCAAAGCCACTAAACAGCTATTTCTGGAAATACTGCATTCTGAGTTGCTTTCTGAAGTACCCTTTAAGGGGAAATTCACAGAATTCGCATGATGGTCCATTGGCCTTCTCCTTTTTGCAGGAACTCTCACTGTTTCTTCAGAAGTTAGGTGTTCCAGTCCAGATTTTCTTCGACTGCAAACAGTAGGCCTCATAAACCTTGGTACCTGCGATAATGGAGCTGCTGCAATATTTCTAGTCTTGTTCCTACTAATTTCAAGATTAGGTTGGGGCCGTTCGTTATATTTATATAAATGGTAAGCATCCAGTTGCTCACCGAAAGATGGGGATGTCCCTGTTAATTTATCCAATTCCTCAGTCAACTTCTTGATACTCGTTCTAGCTTCTTGGCGCTCAGCTTCAATCAGTTTAATCTTTTGTTGCAGATCGATCATTGCAACTTCCTTCTCCCTTTCTACCTGATTTCAGTTTTTCCCAGTCATTATAAAGGTACCAGAGTTCACAATTTATAATTGAAACAAAAAGGCACTTGAATTCTTGAAGTAAAGTAACCAGGTAATTCAGAAAACTGATTAGGTTTTGTTGTGTAATGTCTCTGTTTTGAGTATCCATGTGGATATGGTTAATTCTTTTTCTTCTAGTTTTTGGTTGAAATGATCAATTCATTTATCAAATGAATCCTGACAACCAATATGCTTATTTATGGTTTAAATGTTTACTTTGTCATATTTAATCTCTCTTTACAAAGGGTTACTAAACTATCTAATTGTTTTATAGAGAACAGATTGTCACATTTACTTACAGTCGAATCTGTTTTCCCTAGATGAACGCTTCTCACCCTAGTCGCAAAATTCAAAGAACACACTGTTTCACAGAGATCTTCTTCATTAGGACTGATATGGACAAGCATTAGAGTTTTTGAGTCCTGTCCTGAGAATAAAATAAATCAATAGTTAAACCATGCTGATATAACTATAAAAAGTAGAAATAATTTATATGTGAAGCATGCATAAAAATGTTATGTATATCTGAAAATGAAATTCTTGCCATCTCTGGCGGTGGCTTTTTCTTAAAATAGTTTCCATGATGGATATAACTATTTGATGTATGCATATAGTTTACTCCAAGAGACTCGTTAGTGGTGGCAGAACAATATTGTAGTAAAATTTGGAGTAGGGCACAATCTTTTTTTCATAAATAAGTAGGGCATGTTCTTGTCTCTTGGTCATTACAAATAAGGATGACACTGGAGTCCGGTGAGGTAAAAGGTATTACCAAGGGAATCCTTAAGAACCTGCGTCAGCTTGCTATTCCTGTCATTAGTGAAAAATGAATCAGTTATCATTTAGGGATGAGTTCATAATGTTGCAGCAGATTTAGTAATTACTAATTAGCCATACAAGACAAGTAAATATTAACTGCTGAGGTGTTATATCATATTAGTTATTACATAAAAAGAAGCTGAAGAGTAGAAAATTTGTTAGTATCTTAATCACACCAAGAGTGATCTTTGAGAGATTTAATTTCTCAATCAAGTTGGAGGGTATAGCTTCAATAAAAAAATAACACAAAGGGACATCTACTACCGACCCCAAGTAGTAGGGATCAATGAACAATGATTAATTGTATTTCTGTTACCTATAAGGTACATGGCTTTTTCTATTTTGAAGGGCACTGATGACATCTCCAAGAGAGGAAAGTGACAAGTTAATGGCCTTTCCTTCTTCTAGTCTTCTACCCCATGCCTTTGTTTTCAACAAACGCTCGCTTCCTCCAAGATCAACAAACCAAACTTTATTTGTTTCCCTTCGCCTCTCAGGTGCTCCACTACATGTGATTGATATGCGAATCAAGCTACCAAAACAGGAACATAAAGTTTTAGAAACATAATAATATTGTTTCTAGATACCAAGTTCCAAAACCAGTAACCAGAGCTGAAGACATACTAAGTCAGCAAGTTTCTTATTATAGAAAGTGGTTACCAGTGTGATCTGCTGGAAGTACTGTTACAATTTGTTGATGCAGTTGACCTGAACCGGCACCCTAGTTTATATAGTTTCAAAGCTTGGTTGAAGTCACTCACTTGAATAGCCACAAGGTTTTCAATTTCAATCCCACCATTTGGATCTGATTGGATTGATAGGCTGTTGAAGTAAAAGTAGGATTACTCTATAAGGCAATGTTTAGCACTGCTAACAAATCGAACTTAACCCAGTAAATTTTACATGTATTTAAGAGACCATGAGAGGTTTAATTGAGCGAAATTAGCTTCCATCGTTTCCTCCTCTTGACGGGAATTAGCTATACCTGACAGTTAGTGCTGCCTCTGAAAATTTTTCTTCTCCCACTTTTGCTTTGAAATTCTTTGACTAATAAAGAATCGTGCTACTTCAAGCATATAGACTTGGGACTAATTATTTGATGCGGTCATATTTTCAGACATGATATGGCAGGTATGGAATTCCTCACCCTCCTCCAATATAGTGAAGAAAGAGGTCAAACTAAGTTCATTGAACTTGGTCAAATTTGTAAACTCTAGAATGTTACAGGAGGTATAAGTTATAACAAGTTGGTACGAGAACATATTAATCATCTTCACCTATGTTATTTTTTTAAGCTGCCACCATACACGAAAAGCTTACGCACTTAAGAATGGGCCAACAATGTATATCAAGCTAACTTCCCTCACATGTAGACTTGGAGAGGGAGACAATTGCAGATATGGAGAAACATATAGGTGCAGCTCCATCATGCACCTTGCAAGCTCCATCATGTACCTTGCAAGTCAACAGACAAGTGGGGAATGGTTATTGGAGGTTTCAAACTCACAGCCTCCTACAACCAGAAATAGGATACCTACTAGAGAATCACTCTGAAGGCTTAAATGGACTATAGAGAGGAGGAACATTGAGAAAAATATCAGATTTTGGTCATCTTTATGGATATCTCTCTGATATTCCTCTAGATTGTAAGGCTGCAGACTGCGATGTGTTAGTGCAGATTAGTTAAAGAGTGCAAGGGAATCCAAGTATTATTTTTAGTTTGGTTACATTTGGTAGGCCTGTCCATTCCCACTTTGTTTCCTGTATGTTTTCTGTGTGGTCTCCTTGTCCGAAGAGTTGTTTTTTTGTTAGCATTAATAAAAATTATGTTCGTCTTTTCTTGAAAGAGGAAAGTGGTATAACTTATGATATATGAGCAGCAGTTGCTATTTTTAGCATTACCAGGGAGGCAGAGGATCCATTGCCTTTGTTGGATGAGAAATTAGCAGGTCTCTGAGATTTCCCATGTAAATCTCAAGCATACTGAAACTGAATAGAAACACATGGTTGCTATCAACTGCTTGCCTAAACAGTGCTTCAATTGCACGGGGCACCACTCCGGGAAATTCTGGAGTTCCTTCCTACGAATTTTAGATCCGAAAAAGTAGAGTCAGAATTATTATATATATACCACATTTAAGAAAAACTAGAGGCAAATCAAAGAATGCCATTGAGAATTTTGGGCTACTGAATTTTCAGCGGGTTTGATGTCACTGGGATGGCATGGCTTTTTTAGTTGGCCATGTCATGATTTTACCTGTTTTGCAAGATTCTTAGCATGTATTGTAATTTGTATAGTATGCCTACAAATTCCATAAGATTTTTGGCTTGATTCCTCACCATGGTGAAGGTTTTCCCTGTGCCTGTCTGTCCATAAGCGAATATGCATGCATTGTAGCCGTCAAGTGCGGATTTGATGACTGGCTCAACTTCTGAAAAGACTTCGTCTGAAATTTTTGGTAATCAAATTGTCAATCATATATTCATAGCCGTCTGTGTAAGTTATCTTTGGATCAGAGTTGCAACAATACACAGTGGCCAAATTTACAACCAAAAAGTTTTCATGTACTCAAGCACCTTGTGATGAGCCGGGGCGGAAAACATTGTCGAAACTGTAACTTTTATTCTTACTGTCAGTAAGTCTTAGAAGAACATTACTTGAATCCAATGCTACAACAGGCCTAAAGCGGCCGAAGTTCTCCCCTATTGCAATGGGTCTTATACGACAAAGCACTCTAATATTACCTGCAATGACAAATATGCTTAGCATAATTCTGCAATTTAAATTGGTTTGGGTCAACTGCAAGTTTGCAACAGATATGTGCAGCTAAGTATTTTAAGTTCTTTGGTCTGTCTGTATACATTACTTGAGAACATTTAGTAAAAGCACTCTTTCTTTTTTCTTTATAAGATGGTATACAGAATAGTTTTCAGTAGAGGATGACTAACCTTTCAAATTTAGAAATTCATTTAGAACCTGCCTTCTCCGTTTGTTAAATTCATTCATGTGGGCAGTCAAGATAGCAAGTTCATCTGTTGACAGGGGGGGAATAAGAAAGCGTATAGGCGGCGGTCGATGAACAACAGAATGGTAGATAGTCTCGCACGGAGGACATCAGAATAAAACATATGCAGAAAGACATGAAGGGATTTACCTCTAATTTTTGAGGCAGCGTCTGAAGAAGTGTCTGTCTCGAGATTTGTTGTTGTTAAGTCGGTGGGTTGTCCTTGAGGTTGAGGACAGTGAGGAGGTAGGTTTGTTATTATATCACAAACAGATTGAACCCAGGTGGAAGTGAGATGTGACTTCAGTCCTAGTAAGGAATGAATTGTTTCAGAAAGAGAGTGGTGGGAAGGGTCTCTTGATGCCATGACTTTCCTCATTCCCCTCTTTGGAATTATACGTACGCACTCTGTTGAATCAAATCTCTCTGTCGTGCAAGTGCAACCAAACTTTGTTGCTAGGGTCGTCTTCTTTCTGGCCAGTACTTGTCTGCCGTGAACTAGGAAATAATCTTTGATATACAGATGAAAAAGAGGAGTATTAGTAGCATATGAAAAAACTGCAGAAATCTATGCGTATATATAATATATAGAGGATCCTATTCTTTGCTAATGTGAGCTGTCTATAACGCGGTAAAGGAAAGATGGATGGAATAAGGGATATCCAATGTCTGAGAAGCCTCAGAGAAAACCAGCACGAGGTCAAGTATTTTCGTCCATCTCCATGGCATGGCAGCCCCCAACTTTATATTTCCTTCAGCTATTAGCCAAGGAAACCAAAACAAGTAAAATATAAAAGAGTGGTTTGGGGGAATGGGGAGGGAGAAGAAGTCTCACAAGCTGTTGAATGTTGATGGAAGAATTTTTGTCTCTGCGGCTGCGAGCGAGACTAAAACCATTTTCAGATTTCTAGCATCATCTTAATTACAACCTTTATTTGATACGTTATTCAGGTACTTACAGCCAGCCAGGTAACCAATCTTGGAATTTTGCTTCTTGACAAAGTATATGAAAGATAAGAAACAGCATAGCAACAATGAGAGAAAGCAAAGGCTGGTAGTTGTAGTTGATGCGGGTCCCATTCCATTTCAAATGGGAATGTTTGTGCTCACCACTCTCACGTGATGATAATGTTCACTACTCTATTGATGATTTAGATGAGTTTAAATTTCAAGATTTTTGTAGTGGATAAACATAAATCTCAAAATTTAAACTCATTCAATAGTAATAAATAGGATGGTGATCATTACCACCACTTGAGTGTGGTGAGAAAAATGCACACCATTTCAAATAGGACTTCAGGATCTCTTTGCATGAATAATCTGTAATATGAGCCTTTTGGCTCTTGCCATTTGAGCTCCCCAGGCCAACTGCAACACCAACCACAACCAATTGACCTTCCCTTCCCTTCCCTTCCCTTCCCTTCCCTTCCCTTTCCACACCGTCATAACACATTCACAATCGTCTAATTAAATATAGATCTTGGCTTTCATTTCATTTGGTCCCATCGCATCCCATCTAATCCAAGTGTTTTATGTTTGCAAACTACTCCAACATAGACCAATTAATCAATAGGCTGAAAATCAAACAAAGCCAATACACCAACCAATGGACCAAAGAAACTTCCTTCGCAACTTACGATGCTGACCCCCAAAAACAATGAATTGTTTACTGATAAGCTACCTTGATTTTGATGTCATGATATATCAAAGAGTATGGATTGGCCAGCCATCCTTTGATCCCAATAGTTAGGTGACTAAACTCTCTGCACTTGAAGGAGTATGGAATGATTCGACGGTGAATATTAATGTTGTAACATTATCATTGTTATATATATATGTAACCTTACCTATCTTATAATTCATACATTGAATGTTAACGTCATGTTTATAACATTATTAAATGTGAAGGTAGAGAGCACAAAAGTGAATAACGATAATGGATAGCTTCATGACGTCTACTAACATAACTTGCGTCTATACTGTAACAAGATATTCACAGTGTAACAATCAGCGTTGATTGTATAATAACAATATCATTCTTAATAACATGTTAAGCTTTAACAATGGTAAAGTAATCTTATTAAAACAAAGGGTACTAACATCCTCTTCTTACTTTTTCTTGGTACCGTAGAATTACCCATATTATAACCAAAAAGCTACACCAATGTCACAAAGAATAGGAAGAGCATGTGCCAAGAGGCGCCACCATGAGGAAGGACATGCCACTATACACCCTCCATACATTACACACCATAGAGTGACACTAATAGCTAGGTAATAATGTGAAGGAGTGTAGCCTTGAACCATAGAACACGTGCATAATGTCATTTCTACTGATAGAAGCAACTGCCGACAGTGTTGTCTTCTTCAATTTTTTTTTTTCCTTTCAACGTTGAGGTCAATTATTTGGTTGTTTTTATACAATCCAAAGCTGGTCATGAAACATGAATGATCTGTTTCTATCAACCAGTTTCAGTGGGGCACCCACCCACAGATCCTATCCTATTTCAAGATGTGTGAATGAGGGGTCTCTAGGCCCCGTAAGGTAATTAATCACGTAATATATATAAAAAATGTCGTACCCAGTGCACAAGGCTCCCGCTTTACACAGGGTCTGGGAGAGGTGAATGTCGGCTAGCCTTACCCCCATTTATGGAGAGGCTGCTCCCAAGTCTCGAACCCGAGACCTACCGCTTATGGGCGAAGGCACTTGCAATCGCACCAAGTGCGACCACTTGCAATCACGTAATATATATGTAATGTAAAATTGAAAAAAGAGATATTGCAAATGATGAAATCTCAGAATTTAGAAAGTACGTAGTCCTAATTAATTAAAGGAGGACTTGAAGGCTTAATAATGTATTGTGCGTGTGTACGTACCTGTTTAACTTTAAGGCTAATTAAGCTTAGCTGCTAGCTTAATATTTTGACGATATCCCCAAGGGCCTGGCATGAGGAGCAGAAAGAAACATTGTGTACAAGGACAACTTGCCAATTAACCTCAGCAGCACTTAGGTTCTAGTTAATCACTAGCTAGTAGTGGCTAATCTATAGTTAGCTCTATATATAATATAGAAGCATGCACGGAATTAGCTAACAAATACAATACACACACACACACATACATACATGCATCGTCACATGAAGGCCTGGAAATATAGAAGAGAGACCGAGAACGAAGTAAGTGTAGGAGTAGATCGGCAAGTCATCATTGGCTGCAAAATACCTTCTGCACTCAACACGCAAGGCAAGGCAATAGAAGCTTCTCAAACCATGCACATATGATCGATCGAATATAATATATAAAGCGGATGGAAATTGGAAAACACGGGACAGAAAAGAAACAGATCAGAGAGGAATATAAAGATTAAAACAAATTGAAGGATCTTAATCATATTAATGTATATGACGAAAGGACTCTAGCCTCAAGATGGAGCTTTGGACATCTGATGCATCATATTTACACATACACACACACATATATATATACAACTTACAGCTTCAATTTAGGTGATGATGAGGGGGACAGCTACTGAAAAATATGTGTGTGTGTCTAGAATTAATCTGTAAAAGGATAAGGGTTCTTTAACTTGCCATATATTTTTCTCAGTGGTTGATCAGACCTAGCTTGCAAGTTGCAAATGATGGATTTGAGCATATTTTAATAAAAGAAAGCCACTTGCATGCGGAAGGTACGTCCCATATGTATTTGCAAGACGAGATAGCCCAGAGGCTCAAGATATGCTTGTACGTACAGTAAGATTCAGTGCTTCAGCAGATCATTACACATATGTATATATACATAGTAAACCACTAATGCATATTGGTTTAATTATTTTATAGTTCGAAGTCATCAATAATATGTAGATGTTAGTCACCTACAAAACTTACCAACATGTTATCCAAACATCTAATTTCATTGTAATTTGATGAGAAGAATTATTAGTTTAAGGACGATATCGACAAGACGAAGCACATGTAAGTGTATGGTGTGTTGAATATTTATCAACAATCAATGACAGATTTATATATAGAAATAAATTCGAATATGCTAAAAAACAATAAATGCAAATTAATAATTTAACACAGTATGTACAAAACAAAACTAATATTTAATCAGATAAACTGAAAATCGAAGCTTGCGTATTGCAATGTCCTTGACATAGAATTTGGTCACAGGGCTTGTAATTCAATGAACATCTTCTTTACCAAAATTCAACGATCAAACCAGGATTCCAACACTGGAAATCTTGGTTTCTGGTGAATATCTTTGTGGTTCTCTCAGCGAGAAGGTTTTGGTATTTCATAAGGAGAATTCGTTTTTTCTGGGTTCTAATGTCGTGCAGATGGATGTATATATAATACACATATGCCTGTTTGCAACAGGTATGAGTATGGAATGCATCTTTTGGGAGGTATCTGCTCAGATGGGTGCATAGCTCTTGGCGATCTTCTGTTGTCTTCAAACTTCATTCAAAATGATGAGTCTGTTGATTTAAAAATTAAATAATTAAATCTGAAATTAAAATATAATTAATTATTATATTTAATTATTAGAGCTTAAGCCCAAGAGCCCCAGGGCTCAAGGTCCATATTTTGATAATTAATTATTAAAATATATTAATATTATCACATTCCAAAGCCTAAACTCAAGGTTTAGGCCCAATTTTGCTCTTCTTGATCCATTTCTCCAATCACGTTGTAAGAATAACAAAGTCTTATAAAGTGTGGGAAACTTTTAGAACCAAACCCCCTATAAAACCTAAAAGGTAAACACCTACAAGTAGGCCTGTCTACGTTAGCACTTTATTAATTAGGTCACGTACCTAATTACTTATTGTTTGGGCTTGACCCAACGACAGACACATATTTTCGAAGTACTCAACGATACAAACACGTGGTTGTAAGCAGAACTGAAATCGGAGTTAGATGAAGATTGTGTAGAATTAGGAAGTCGAAGGGTATTCTAGTAAAATTACTATTTCGGATATTTTCCTCTTCAATTATTTTAATATTTTATTTAGATTTTTATCTAGTGGGGTCTACACCCCACTTCTCTTTCTCTTCCCCATGTCTCTCCGCCTACGCTCTCGAGGACTCTCTCTTTATCTCATCTCACTCTCTTATTTCCCCTTAAACTCTCACTTCCTTATCAAATCTCATCCCTCCTCTCTCTGAGCACAGACACAACTAACCACTCCGACGAGTTCTCAGACCACATAACCACCACAACCCTCAACCTTAAATACTTAGGACACCCATGTCCTTAATGAAACGATGGTTGTTGCCACTGTTCATCATCTCTCCAAAGATTTATCCGACAAATTTTGTGCTCCCAACTTTGGTAAGGACTCACATCACTCATCCTCGTTTTAGTTTTTTATTTCAAGCTTACATGTTAGTTTTGGTGG